ACCCACACAGATATGATCAATTAGTTTTCTACAAAGCCTCCAAAGTAATTCAACCGAGGATAGGGAAGTCTTTGCAACAAAATGTGCAAAAACTTCAGATATCTACATAAAATAGTAGTAAGCCTCAGTCCTTTTCTCCCACACAAAAATTAACTTGAAATGGGAAAGAGACTAAACATATAAGTTAAAACTATGAAAGTTCTAGAAGCAAACAAGGCAGAAAATCCTCTGTGACCTTGATGCAGGCAAAGCTGTCTTTTGTAGGACATAAAAAGCATAAAAAAGAAAAAAATTTTGCTTCATCAAAATTTTAAAACTTCTGCTTTTTGAAAGCCACCATTAAGAAAATGAAAAGGGAAGACAGACTGGGAGAAAGTATTTGCCATACATATATCTAACAAGGGATTTGTATCCAAATTATGTAAAGAACTCTTACAGCTCCATAATAAGATGGACAAATCCAATTTTGATAAAGAGTGAACAGACACTTCAAAGGTTGAACAGACACTTCACAAAAGAAGATGTACAAATAGCCAATAAACACATGAAAAGATGCTCAATGTCATTAATCTTCAGATAAACGCAAATAAAAAACCTGCAGTGAGATACTAATACACACTCACCATAATGGCTAAAATTAAAGAGACTGACAATATCAAGTATTGGCAATGATATGAAGCAACTAGAACTCTCATATGTTGGTAGTGAGAAAATAAAATGACACAACAACATTGGAAAACAAACTAGAAGTTTCTGAAGAACTTGAACATGCACTTACCATAGATTCAACAATCAAATTCCTAGGTATTTAATAACAAGAAATGAAAAGAACATGTCCAGACAGAGGGTTGCACATAAATGCTCATGGTAGTTTTATTCATAATAGCCCCAAATTAGAAACACGTCAAATATCCGTAGGTGGATGAACAAATTGTGGTATATCCATACAATGGAATACTACTCAGTAACAAAAAGAATGAACTAATGATACATGAAAGGGCTTGAATTAATTTCAAAAACATGCTGAGAAAAACAAGCCAGATACAAAAGAGCACATGTTGTATGAAATTCTAGACTAGGCAAAACTAAGGTATAGACACAGAAAACTTATCACTGGTTGCCTGGGGTGAGGTGGGTGGGAAGGTACAGAAAAGAATTTTGGAGGTGATGAAAACGTTCTATGTCTTGATCTGCTGGTACTTAAGAGGTGTATACATTTGTTAAAAACCCATTGATCTCAGGATTTAAAATAGATGTGTTTTATTGCCTGAAAGTATAACTCAGTAAAGTTGATTTTTAAAATGTTGCAGTCAAGAAAGACAAAGAAATCCTGAAGAACCATCCCAGATTAAAGGAGACTACAGTGACATCATGAGTAAATGTATTGCATGATCCTGTACATGGCGGAAAAACACCTATAAATGACATTGTTGGGACAGTTGATGAAATTTGAAAAGATTATAGATAAAATTATAGCACTGTAGAAATGCTAAATTTCCTGATTTTGATAACTGTACTATGGTTTACAAGATAAACTCCGTGTTCTTGTAAATATTTAGACCAAGGGACATAATCTCCCCAATTTATTATCAAATGAATCAGCAAGGAGAAAGACAGAGAACTGGAGAGCACAGCTAGAATTATATATAAACAAATGGTAATTATGGGTAAAGATTATATGAGAGTTCCTTGTACTATTCTTTCAACCCGTCAATAAGTTTGAAAATATAAAAAAATTTAAAAAAAAATTTAATGACAGGGGACAGGGCAGGAAAACTATTTTTTTGTCCTTAATTGTGCTATCTCTCAAATCCAGAGGGTATGGAAATGATTTATCCTATCCATAAGGCAAAGACCCAGGCTCTTTACCAGAGTTCTCTCATTGGCTCTGTGGGTGGTTCAGGGAAAGAGGAGAGAATTTCTCAGGGCCATTAAAGAGAAGGGCAACTGATTTCCAAAGACAAAATCTTCTCCTCCTCCCCAATAAGACGGACAGCCTCCAAGCTCTTATATCATAGACCAAAAGAGCATTTTCTTCCTCTTCCAACTCATTTGTTTTTCCACAATGGAATAAATCCTCCTGTCAAAAAACATTAATCTGTAAGTAATCACAAATTATTAAAGGAAACAAATAAAAAATGACAAAATTCCATTTCACCTTTTCTTCTGTGTCAGTTGCAATGTCAGGCAGTGAGAACACTATCAATTCTCTTCTCACAGATACATTTATATTCATTATCACAATCAATAGCTGTTATTTTTGTTGCGGTTAAAAATGCACATCCTTTAATCCCGGAATGCAAACTGATTATTTTCAAATTACTGTAGAACAGAAAACAGACATGGTCAACTGTTGAATTCTGAAGCTGACAATAACATAAACCATTATCTTTTTAAGTCTGTTGCCTAAAGATCTGGAATGTGGAAATGTTAATCTTAACTTCACCACTAAAAGATTGTCTTTTGGTTTTAGCCCATTTACTATAATAACACCCTTCTGATCACACCCATAATCTTCCCTGGTATTCCACACTAGGAATTTCTAGTCAGCAGGTGATATTACCTTGCAATATTTCTAGGGCATCATGAGATATAGGAAACCAGCTTTCTCATGTTAATAATTTCAATAAAAGTGAGAGGTTAAAAAGAAGAACTGAAGTTCTGTGACAGAGATAACCAAGTCTCATGTGTATATACCTTAAGGAGAAAAGGTGGAATTGGAATATAGACAGAGGTGAGGTTTAATTGATGTTTTTATTTGTTTTGTTTCTTTTCCTTCCCTACCCTATAGCTAATAATTGTTAGCCAAAACATGAGAACGCACTGAAAAATATCTAAAAGGGAGACTTCTATTTCAGCAAAGTGGTGGATTAGATACCAGAACTATCTTCCTATTGAAACAATTAAAAATGTTGAATAAAAAAATTTAACCCTTCTTGATAAATTTATGAATTGGCAAGAAGCAAATTCATACTCAAGCGGAGGGTGAAGTAATGGTGTGAACACAGGAGGGTAGTTGAAACTCTGCAGTCAGTTTTTCCCTTAACTGATGTAGTAGGCTGAATAATGAATTCCATCCAAGATTCTGAATAGAGGGCAAGCTACACAGAGTGGAGACCCAAAGGGATATATCCTCAGTATAAACCACCCAAGACCTTTCATGAACCTTGAAAAACCAAGGGAAAAAGAATAATCCCACCTAACAGTTCAAAATCATACGCCATCCCCCATGTAATCTGCATTTGCTACATTATTTAAGAATATTCAGATCTGCTACAGGGATAAAGAGAAATAAACAAGGAAGATAAATGAAACTAAGTAGCTCATGAGGCAGAGGCAGAACACATAAGATGTACGTATGTATAAGTAAGTAACCTATGAGACATGTTAGGTATACACAGAGTAAGTAGAGCATATGTGTGCTGATCATGGGAAGGGAAGAAAGAACTAAGTAGACACTAAATACACTAGTCGAGATATATATGACGCACATAGATACTCAACATTCAGGAGGTCTTAAGTTTCCCATCCATTGGGGACACACATCTGGCCCTCTGCCTAAGAAATTCACATAAAATCCGTGGCTACTGCTAAGGTTAAATGGAAAGCTGCAGCTGTGCCCAAGCTTACATGCCCCTGCATCTCCGTAGTAGAGAAAATGTGCATGATCGTCACAAGAACCTTCTGTCTGTTGGGCCCCTTTACTCAAACCTCAAGTCTGGTGCTAGAAACCATCAGCAGGGAAGGGGTATGCAGCAGAGAAAGTCAGGTCACATAAAGATTGCATAACCCAGGACTCAGGCAATCCTTTCACCCAATGTACCTTATCCTAGCATGACAACATATCCCATCCCACCCAAATGTGAGAGCTGTCCCATTTCCTTGCCCTGCAGAGTGCAATGATTTTTAAATTGATTTAATTAACCATGAAATTTGAGCTTGTTAATTTAGCCCGTGAGCCTTTCTGTTCTGTGACCTCTGAGACTGTTGGCCTGAACGTGTACTTACAGGCTACAATTACATTGAAGTAATTTCCTGCATGACATCTTTTGTAGGTTTGCAGCCCAGAACAACACTTACAGGGCCCATATGTAGAATTTAGAATCACTGGCCCAGATTCATAGTGCCCCAAGGAATCCAAGAAAAGGAAATTCTTTCTTGAGGAAGCCTCCTTCATCTCAGTCTTTGAATAATTTCCACAGCAGATCAAAAAGGAAAGAAAATCACTAAACACTACAAAGAAAATGGCATCATGAAGGAAAGCCATCAGAAACAATAGAGTGGACCCGCAAAACTTCAAAGATAAAAATTATCTGATACCAAATATAAAATAAGAATATTTAATATCATTCAAGAAATAAAAGAAAGCTTGAAAATCTGAGTAACTAGCAAGAAGACTTGGAAACATAAAGCAGAATTTCTAGAAATAAAAAATATAATACATTATTCAGATTTTTAAAAAATCATTGAACAGTTTAACAGCAGATTATAATTAAATGTAAACTCAAGAGTTTACAAAATACTGCCCTTCAAAATAGAAGAGCTATAGTGAAGGCATATGTACGTGTGTATACTCACAGATGTTTATGAATAATATAAACTAATAATGTAAAGGAGTTTCAAATGAATTTGGGGGATACTCAAAATACTCATTTGCACTTATCAGAGAGCTCACTATGGGTAAGTCAGGATAGTCCAGTCTCTTCATATCACTCTACTTTGTGTTTTATTTTAAATAAAATAATTCTGAAGACATACTTCTGAGCATGTGTTTTTATCATCACATCATAATTTTATTATTATTGATAACTCTGTATGACACATCTGTTCTTTTTTAACTACACTTCCTAAAAGGCTTTCTTAATCATTCTACTTATTCTTGCCAACGAACTCTACTGAAAATGAGTTAAGCTCTGCAAAATAAGAGAAGGTTCCTTTTAGATACAATTGTTCTAACCCCAACACCAATATTGGAGTTTGGATGCATTCCAGAGACTTACGTTCCAGAAAATGTGCCATTGTCAATCCATTTCCACTTACTTTCCGTTGCATTGTATGATAATCCAATCCAGTAGCTATCTCTATAAGTCTGGGGTTGAACAAATGCCTATAAAGGAAACAAAGGATATCAAGTGACTGAACTCCAACCTGTTAGAGAATGAAAAGAAGGACAGGTTAAGGGTCCAGTTGTTTCTCTGCCAAGTTCTCTGCTCCTCTCCACATCATTCTTCACCACTCCTTCCTAAAAAACCTTCTCTTCCCTCAATCCCTGTGTTTACATTTTTGAAAGTAATTTTTCCCGGGATTATTTATTTATGTTAAAAATGGCTGCAAGTCTCACAGATTATTTAAAACATGGAAAAATTTAAAATCTAGTTATCTAACAATAGGAGATTTGATAAATAATTTATGACACTTTATGAAACCATTCAAAGTCAGGCTCCAGAAAACTACTTACAGATCTATAAAAATGATCACTATATATTCTTAAGTGAAAAGAGGAATCTTCAAAACAAGTTTATTAAAACAAGTGTATCTGGGGAGACGTGCCTAGAGGCTTTAGCCTCATAAGAGAGAGCCTTGCTGGAGTTCAGTAGTTGGAAGAGGCGCAGGGAAAAGGGCAGTGTTTCGAAATATTGACTCTCCAAAAATGTAATATATCAAAGTGACATATTACATGATATCTGATTAGATGACTTAATGTATTTTTAGAAAAAGATTTAAATGTAACTGTGTTTTACTGCAACAAACATAAAAAGTTATTTTATAAATTGATATCATAAATTCTTTTATGTTGTGGTTTAAAATATCTATTAGATTTACATATAAATTTTGCCTTATTTTCCTACACAATAAATAGAGGCTTCAGGCTGATCTTTGCAAACATTTCTCTATAAAATCACATTCTGCGTGTGTGGATAGTTTCCATTAGTAATAAATTAAAAAGGTAATTTTTTTTTTTAAAGATTTTATTTTTTCCTTTTTCTCCCCAAAGCCCCCCAGTACATAGTTGTATATTCTTTGTTGTGGGTCCTTCTAGTTGTGGCATGTGGGAGGCTGCCTCAGCGTGGTTTGATGAGCAGTGTCATGTCCGCGCCCAGGATTCGAACCAACGAAACACTGGGCCGCCTGCAGCGGAGCGCGCGAACTTAACCGCTCGGCCACGGGGCCAGCCCCTTAAAAAGGTAATTTTGATATTATTGTCACTGTATTTTCTCTTTTTATAATTCTTTTTGAAAGATATACATGTTGATGTAATATATAAGAATATTGATCAAGTAAATGTTACCTATAGATGCAATCAAAATCACCATAAAGCTAATTTGTAAAACTGTTATCACTTTCCTATTCCTCATCATTATCTCTATTCTGCCAATGGGAAAACGGGGGCCCAGAGAGGTTAAGTCGTTTATCCAGGCTCACCCAGTCAGTAAGTGGCAGAGCTGGATTTTATTCCAATCAGTCTGGCTCCTGTATTCCTAAAACTAACTACTAGACCATGTTGCCTCCAGGTTCTTAGTTGCCACTTATAGGGAGAAATAACTGCTGGTTCCAGGCCACAGTTTACCAAATGCTTAACTATTTCATTGAAGCAAAAGCATACTTCTCCATGAGCAGGTCTACTGCAGACTCCTTAGAGAGGGAGATGATTGCAAAGCCCCAAACTGCACCTTCAAGGGGGTTTCCATTTTAGAAATAATAATGGTCATCAGGATACATAATATGTATTGAAGGCTTAGTAAGTAACAAGATCATATGCCTGCTGGCAGGTCTCCTGGCAGACTCTTACCTATGCAATTTTGGCTCACTCAACAGACACAACACAAAGAATAACTGAAGGTCCCTCTTTCTGGACTCCCCCCTGCCCTCAATATCTTGGGTCCAAGGATGAGAGACAGAGTCCAAGAGAACAAAAGTGAATGTAACAATCCATGATACCAGTTCTTCTTCATCATCTATCTTCAAAAGAGATAAATTGTAACTTTCGCAAGTCTGTTTACATCCCCTCCAGTCTTTATTTTCAGTTGTAAAATAATAACAGTTTACTCCACAACAGGACCAGCGGTTGTCATAGAGTTTGCCTACAACATAGAAGGTGAAACATTAAACTTCTTGTCCTCTGGTATTCTGTGAAGCAGAGCAATATATTTATCAGCCGTCTATAAAGAAACTCTTAATAGCCATCAATAATGATAATATGAGGTTCATCAATATTCTGGAACTCCAAGAGATATCTGCACTCCCATATCCAGTGCAGCATTATTCACAATAGCCAAGATATGCAAACAACCCAAATGTCCATCAATGGATGAATGGATAAAGAAAATGGGGTATATTCACATAATGGAATATTATTCAGCCTTAAAAAAGGAAATCCTGGCATATACAACAGCATAGATGAACCTTGAGCAGCTTATGCTAAGCAAAATAAGCCAATCACAGAAGGAAAAATACTGCATGATTCCACTTAGATGAGAGATAAAAATTAATCAGACTCAGAGAAATGGAAAGTAGAATGGTAGTTGCCTGGGCTTTGGCGGGGTCGGGTTGGGGGAATGAGGAGTTGTAGGCCAATGGGTATACAGTTTCAGTTATGCAAGATGAAAATGTTCTAGGGATCCGTTATACAACATATTGCCTACAGTTATCAATGGTGAATTGTGCACTGAAAAGCTTCTTAAAGGACAGATCTCATAATAAGTGTTCTTACCACAAAAAAAAGGAACAAGAGGAAACTTTTGGGAGTGATGGATATGTCTATTACCCTAACTGTGGATGGTTTTACAAATAAGTGCACAAGCCCAAATGCATAAAATTGCACGCATTAAATTTGTGCGGTTCTTTGCATAGTAATAATACCCCAATAAAGCTGGTTTTAAAAATAATAAAATAAAATTCAAGAAAAGCATTTTGGAATGCCTTCTAGAGAAAAGAAATGTTAGTCTTTGGATTTTTTTTTGCTTTTCCTCACGTATTTTACAATATACCAAACTTTTAAAATATTATTGATCCTCTAGTCATAGAGACAGTGAATTTCTACTAACTACCATACCTAAATTATATTAAATATGCAAAATCTCTTTGTAAACTCTAAATCCTAAGCAAATACTGAGTAGTTGTTGATTAACCAATCATTTCAATTCATCAAGGTCAATTCATTTCATTCTTATGAGTGATAACAGAGTTTATTTTATGAGATTTAATATTCTTATATCTTGCACGTTTTTAACAGTACCATCACACAGAGTGGCACAAGCATCAACACTATGGCAAATCTTGCAGACATACTGCAGGGAATACATATTGACCACAAACAGACCAAATAGCTGAAGTCAAGGCAGAATGGAAACACAGTTATCATTACAACAGCGTCCAAATAAAAGGCCTTGTGCCCATTTTATCCTAAGTACATTTTTACTGATAGCCTCCATATTTCACATCAACTACAAAGTGGGAGTGTCTAATTTGCCCACAATTCCAAAATCATCCAAATTTTCAGGGGAGCTGATGTACTATTTCACCTTCTGGGAGCAGTAGGAATACAAGAACCGCCATTGAATTTGGGGAAAGACAGGGCTCTGCTAATCCAAACACGTCTTCTGGGGTCTTCATCCCATATTTGAAACAAGTAACCCGAATACCCACACCACACTAAGAGGCACAAATTAAAGTTGTTTAGTAGACCTGCATCACTAGCACATATCCTCAGCCTCTTATTAGGCCTCAAAGCTTCTGGAGGGGGAAGAAATAACGAAAGGTCATGCTACCTGTCACTCATGAATTCCTCCATACCTGTATTTTGCAAAGACTTTGACAAGATCCCCTGTTTTCGATGACATCTCATCTTTTCTTTAAAGAGTGAAGCTATTTCCTTCTTCTGTTGAAGAGTCTGATTTTTGAGAATGCCATATTCTAAAGTCTTATTTGTCAAAAGTTGCTCCTTTAAGTAGTTCTCCTTTTGCATAATGTTGTACTTTTGACTGAAGTTTTGTCTACTTTCCTCCTGCTGTTTTTCTTGAATACACTGAAAAACTAAAATTAATAGTATAGATATAACACAAAAAGTACTCATAATGTTTAAATGTTGAAATTTAATACAAAAGAAAAAGTCTCACTTTAAAAACCAACCCATTTCATTAATTTAATTAGTAATTTGACATTTAGAAAGTAACACCTCAATAAACTGGCCAGAGAAATAGAAACATCAAATTTCTCACTATTAGCAATGTAAGCATAGAGTAAAATAAGATATCTGAATAAAATTATAATGGTAACACCTCACCATTCATTTTGAACAGTTAGCCCATCATTTACAAATAAATATCAAAATAAAAATCAGTTTATCAACATTTAGCGAGACGTCTTCTGAGTATCAAAATATGCACTAAGAAACATGAAGAAACAGCCCCGATTATTGGAGTAGATGGAATATCCATAGGAGAAAAAGGAGGAAGATCCAAATATGCGATTTTCTCTAAATGAAGCATATGAGTGATTTTCTCTAAAGATGTCAAGGAATTCAAATAAAAGACAAAGATTGAATACAAGATCATCTAACGTCCACGTATAGAATCACTCTTTTTACTAAACCATTTCTTCATTGTGTACTTACAAAACATCAAGGGAAAATCATAACTTCATTTTTTGTTTTTATTTTTATTTTTTTTGAGAAAGATTAGCTCTTAGCTAACATCTGCCACCAATCCTCCTCTTTTTGTTGAGGAAGACCGGCCCTGAGTTAACATCCATGCCCATCTTCCTCGACTTTATATGTGGGATGCCTGCCACAGCATGACCTGAAAAGCAGTGTGAAGGTCCTCACCCAGGATCCAAACTGGTGAAACCCAGACCACCAAAGCAGAACACGTGAACTTAACTGCTGCGCCACTGGGCCGGCCTCCATAATTTTTTCTGAACAGTTGTTTTTAAAAGAATATTTAGCCAAGATTCACAATGATCTAAAGTCAGAGGGCAGAATATTACTAAGTCCTGTATCAGAAGGAATGTTACCAGGTGTTATACAGAATGACAAAGCTCATTACAGATGAAGTCATTGGAATAGGTAAGTAAAATGAAAATGACACTGTGATCTGTGTGAGGAAAAAATCACTAAAAAAGAGCCACCTGGGACATTGCCAGATTACAGCCAAGGAACAATTGTTGGAGTATGGTTAATATCGGCACAATTAGTGGTTACTGCTATTACTCAGATTGGAAAGATAGAGTTCAAATACTCACTCATTGTTCCCGACACTCTGACTGTCACCAAAAGAAGTAAACAGAGGATCCCAACAGTCACTACAAAGAGATGCCAGGGTACTGAAAACTCTTTAAATAAAGAAGGAAGAAAATAATCATTAGGAATAGAGGCTGGTCCACTACTCACTTTAACCCAGGACAACATTTTGGACAAAAAGATAATCTTCTCTAAAAATTTTACAAAAATATATCATGAAAATTGATTTAAATTTGTGATCTCATAATAACAGTTTTAAAGCTTTCAATTTATGACTGACATACACTCGCTGTAGAAATGTTACACACAAGAGCAGTCCTTCAGGATTTTAAAAGCACATCCCTTACAAAAGCACAGATGGCAGTAGACACAATACACATTTATGAGGATCTACACTGACATGTATACTCCTTTCTGTGATCACGATTAATCATGAAGAGGAAGGAAAGGGAGTCAATATTCTTGAGAAATTGGTGGCCAATAGTGGATATTCTGAAGCTGCGAATGTGATTGGGGTTCATCCTTAAAGGAGTTTCTAGAAATCAACTTTCTTTTCCATCAGTTCTATTTTTCTCTGGTCATTACTATATTTATCCTCCTAATATTGAGGTCTTTGGTTCCTAAAGGTTGTATCTCTGCCACTAGATTAAACAGGTAAAAGTTATTCTCAATTTAGAGTTTGTGACAATATTTGAGGGGAAAGAGAAAGAACAGAAAAGTTAGAATGCTCCTTTTGATTTGAACATTTTTGCTTCTTCATTGCGATTAAGGTTTGGTAAACATTTAAGACACCTAAAATATCTTTTGTCTGAATAAAAATATTGTTTCTAACGCACATTTTTCATTTCTCATTCTTTAGCACTTTTTCTCTAGGAAATGCAATGTTTTCTTGAGACTCCAGTCTGTCCTGTACTCTTAATTTTTCTTTTTTTGAAAATTCTCTCTGACCTAACTTTGGTTGCCATTCTTCCTCTCTCTCTTTCTTCTTTCTCTCCAAAACCCTCATACATAGTTGTATATTCTATTGTAAGTCCTTCAAGTTCTTCCATGTGAGCCACTGCCACAGCATGGCTACTGACAGACTAGTTGTGTGGTTCCATGCCCAGAAAACAAACCTGGGCAGCCAAAGTGGAGCAGGTCAAATTTTAACTGCAAGGTCATCCTGGCTGGTTCTGTCCTTTACTTTTAAAGGCCTCATGAATTCCTCTTAAACAAATTTGAATGAAAACATTCTTTTAGCTTCTTAAATTTAAATGAATTCATTAATTTGGAGAAATGGAGATTCTCACGAACTTTAAAAGAGTCTCGTTCTACTAGTCTACACAGTTACGATTTCATATTACCACCTGAGAACCTGAAGTACAGATAGGAACACTTTCTTCAAAAGTCTAAAGTTTGACAATCCATAAAAGATAGGGGTATCTAGATGCTTAAAACATATACCTTTGTCATCAGTTTTCCCAGGCCTTTCAGTACCACCAGGCCTTGATCTATTTTGTGATTCAGAAGGAGCCTGAAGAAATCTGAAGGAGGAATCAGTCACTTCCTGATTGCTCATGCCTAGAGTAAGAAAAGAAATATGTTTTGCATTAAAACTTTGCAACAGGACTATTTCTGTCTAAAGAAAAATTAAAATGTCAGTCTGTAGAACACACCCAGGATTAAGAGGTATGTGTGTATATCTGTGGTGTGTGTGGTGGTGTGTATATCAACTCCTTTAAGTGCCTAATGCTTGTAGACTGAGTTTGATTTATATAAGAAATAGAAAACATTTCAATACCTCTGATAAGTTCATTTATACTCCCAGTGACTACTGCCAGAATTATTAAAAAATACAGAGAGAATTTTTAAAAAACCTACGAATAGATTGAATGTGCTGAGTCCTATTCACCCAGCCAATATAGCTCAAAAATGTTTAATATACAAATACAAATGTTAGGCAGAATTGGTACCATCCCAAATTACTGAGACACTTTTAAAACTATCAATTCAAGAAACAAGAATTCTATGTCTTTGAAATTCTCAAAAAATATAAATATTTTGGTTTTAAAAAAACTTATATATTTTCAAATCTACATATAAATATTAAAAAGTCCTTGCATGCCCTTCAATTACAACATGACTCTACCAGAGTGTTTCCCAAAGTGTATCCCATACACCATCTGGAAAACAATTACTCAGGGTTAACACTGCAGACTGGTTAACATTCCAGATTCCAGGGCCCCATGCAAGATGTGCTGGATAAAAGTCTCTTAAGTAGGAGACTAGACACTTGTATTTTTAATCAAAATGATTCCACGTATACTAAAATTTTAGAAATAATCTTCTAGGGTATGCTGTTGCCAGAGAAGCCTATGTGAAAACAAAATTGGTCAGGGCAGTCCTTAGTTAATATCCATAAAGGATTCAATCTATTAATGGATATTAGTATAAAAAGAATTTTGTTTTAAAGATTGGCACCTGAGCTAACAACTGTTGCCAATCTTCATCTTCTTTTATTTTTCTTTCTGCTTTTTCTCCCAAAACACCCCCACTACATAGTTGTATATTTTAGTTGTGGGTCCTTCTAGTTGTGGCACATGGGATGCCACCTCAGCATGGCCTGACAAGAGATGTCATGTACATGCCCAGGATCCAAACCAGTGACATCCTGGGCTGCTGCAGCAAAGCGCACAAACTTAACCACTCTGCCATGGGGACAGCCCCAAAAAGAAATTTTTAAATAGTAAATATTTAAAATTTATCTTGCTATTTATATCAATCAATGGGAAAAGATGATATCCACAAAACAAAACATGGAAAACAAATTGCACATTTAACTATATTCTTTAATTTTTTTTTAATTTACAAAATTTTCTGAACTTAATTATTCAAAATTTTCTCCAATGTCCTAAGGAAAAGAAGTCTGTTCTATTACAGAATCATTTCACATTGATAAGATAATATGGATATCATTTGGCCCAAATAAAAAGTAATTAACCCCCCAAAGCCCTCTTCATTTAGATAACACAAAGAAAAAATCAGAGCATATTGAAAAAAAGAAAATAACTTTCCGTGAATGCTGAACTACAGCTTTCACATCCTTCCGAGTTCATGCAGTTCTAAAGGAATCAATAGAGAATGCTGTGCCATCGATCCCATGTTCATGTCAAGTCATTTGTAATAAAATCCCATATTGCTAGAATCTTTTCTTCATAAGTAGGGCTAACAGTATACTCAGGTACAAAGGTCTGAAGGAATAAGAGCAGAGGGTACCTGTGTCTGTGCCACGCAGTGATGCAGGCGGAGAAAGTTGACCCAACAACAAGGTGGGAGAAGTCGGCCTTTCCAATCCTGGATCCCTCGGGTGTGTGAGAGGCTGTAAGACGGAAGGCAGAAATGAATTGCCTCTGAGTGGTACTCCAACTCAAAATTGTCTGCCCCTCCTCTTGACCAAAGTGATAAAAGGAAATTGTATGATAAAAGCTGAGGTTGACGGGAAAGGAAAAATGGTCACGAGCTATGCCTTCCTCCATTTCATGTAACCAACCACTTGGTACTTTTCGCAAAATAACATTCAAGATCTGTATTTGAGGACTGAAAAGATAAACAAACACAGCTTTGGAGAAAAAAAACTAATATCTTTAACAGAAACTAGCATACTTAAAAGAAACTACTACTAAAAACAAATGATTAAAATGCATATGTATAAATATATATATATATATACATATACACAGGAAATATTATTAAATCCTTTAACTCTTAAATAACTTGTTAGAAACTTTATCTTATATGTTGCTATTTGAAAAAAAGTTTTTTCCATTTATGTTTATTCCAGATAAATGTATTTTGGAAATTATTTTAAAACATCCGTAATTCCACTATAAAAACTTTGGTGTATCGTCTTCCAATTTTTTATCCGTACATTATGTTTACCGTCAAAGTTGGTCTCCTTCCATACACAATCTTTTTGATCTACTGTTTTCTAATAAATATTTCTTCACATAAAAATATTTATCTAAAATGTCGTTTTAAAACCATATATAGTTATTACCCATATGGACTATACCATAATTTATTCAGGTAATCTCCTACTGTTGGACATTTAGGTCGTTCCCAATCTTTTGCTAGTCTAAAAAATATTTGGCCTGTACTTTGAATATTTTCTTAGGAAACATGAAATTATGGGGTCAAGGGGTATATACAATAAAGAACTTTGATACATATTACCAAACACCCTCCAGAAAGTCTTCCCCATTTATACACTACTAGTGATGAACGAAAATGTTCACTATTGATTTTTTAAGGGATCCTTGGGAATTATTCCTCTACTTGAGCTTTGTGTACAAATCCTACTTCATGAAGATTTACAACCTTCCAGCTAAAAGAAATTTATTTCTAGAACTCTAGTTCTATGAGCCAGACCCAGCCAGAATACACCCAAGTCTCTCAGTGAATTTCACTTTCATTTGACACAGGCCTTGTCAATCTTCTGACATACAGCTCTATGAACTCAGTTTAAATTGCTCTTCAAATCAGGCGAGAGTGGTTAACACGGAGTGTGGAGGAAGAGGAGTGAGGTGTGGAACAGAAGGGGTAATTGATTATGCAGAGACAAACTCGCCCAGATTTCACCAGCTCTGGCCAAATGTCTTGCTTATTCTTTCCTTCTCTTACCACCTCTAGCCACAGCTAAACTGTCCCACTTTAGGAGGCTTCCCCATTCTTCAGTTTGCTCATGCCCCCACCTCTCCTCCCAAGTACTTTACAGACATGGTCTTGAGTGTTCTGACCACTAGGACCCATCTAGATTATGCTGCCTGTTGTTTGCCCTCAAGTGGCTGACTTGTCCCATGATGCAGCCCTTAATCTCTGAATCACTACTGAGCTCTGCCACTTGCCACCACGTGCAGGCAGGCCGCTGAAATACCTCCCAGAGACTAATTTAATTCAGTAATATAAGCAAAGTTTCATGGGAGGAGTCTGCACACTTCAGGGACACCTGCTGCTGGGCATTTCCTTCTCTTTACCCTAATCTTGGATTGGCTTTGTCAATCTCAAAACAGAGAAACATCTCCAGCCCTCTATCGCAATGCCAAAAATAAAGAAATAAAAGCTCTGCCGAGAGAACATAGGGTGTAGGGGTGGAGAAAGAGTAATGGTTGTCGAGAAGGTGGCAGAGAGAGACGCTATCATTTGTTGGAGGACCTGCTGTGTGGATAACCATACTGAAACCTCTCAAAGCTGCTATTTATTAGTGTCCTCATTTTAAAAACAAAGAAATTAATGTTAAAAGGTCAATTGACTTGTCAAAGGACACATCATTACTAAATATTTGATCCATGTTTAAAATCAGGCTGACTGAATACACAGAGCACAAAGGGACTATGGATTCAAAGGTCCTGGATTTTCAACAAACCTCTGCCACGAAGCATGAATTCTGGAACCAGGCAGATCTGGCTTGAAATACCAGCCTTAGCTTCTATGTGTGGCTTGAGGCAAGTGACTTCACTTCTCTAAACCTTGGATTCACCACAGTAAAGTAGGGAAAATATTTTAATAATATTTAAGTTACTATTAAATTAATTAATACTAATATTTAATATGATGATAGGATATACAAAGGGTCTAGCCAGACCTGGAAAATACATGGTAGGCACTCATTAAACGTTAAACATTATTCTTTGAGCTCCAAGATTCAAATCCTTCCTGGGTATAAAAATTTGAACAAGTCACTGCAAATCTTTAGCCTCCTTTTCCTCACAAGTTCAATAAGAATATCACTCACTTCATACACTTAGAAGAATTCAATGAGATTATCACTACAGATAGGATTTCTTAGACTTCAAAATAGGTAAATGTTAATTTTTTTCTCTGTCTCCCAAGGACTATAAATACTAGAAGAGCCACGACCACAACCCAGAAATCCTGACACACTGAGCTAAATTCTTAATCCTAACACATCAGGTATGGAGTGCAGATGCTTGGAGGAAAGTGTGTGTGTGTATAGGGTGGGAGGGCCACATTAAAACAATTTAGGAGCTGGGAAACATGTGGCAGCATACCACTACCTCTCTAGAGAAAACATTCTGTAACCTCCGCTCTGGTTATTACATCTTGCTGCCACATAGAGATATTGGTAATGCTGAGCTTATTGTCTGTTTTGATTTACAAACTTATAGCTGGTGGAGGGTAGACAGTTCTCATGATGGAAGCTAGACAGGTACAGAACACCTTTTTTCACTTCCATAGTGGTCTGTCTCCTCTACATAAACTCCACAAGGTGAGTGCCTCGTCTGTCTTGTTCATTATTATAACTGCAGCACATAGAAAAGAGATGATGCCTACATGTGTACTCCATGAATATGTTCAAGCTGAGAAAAATTCACTACAAAATCCAGATTTTTCAGTTTTAGAGAGATGCAGAATGACATTAATGATTGTAAAGCCAAATTGTGTAGCTGTTCCCTCTAAGCTCTAGTTTCTTTTTATCACTAGGCTCTGAATTTCTGGAAAAGGGAAATTTCTTCTTAAATGAGAAGACAACCAGCATCAGAAGACAACAGCAGTAACTTCCAACGGGACTAACTGAAACTCCTAGCATGGCCCTTCGATCAAAGGACAAAATTGAAACACCAAATTTCATCTATCACAACCACTGTTAATAAAACAGAAAGATGAGAAATTTTAAGAATGCTTTGAATGTTCTTGAACATTGTCTTCCGAATTTGCTTTTCTGCAAAACACACAAACACATACACAATACGAATAAATACAGCACTCAAATATTTACTGCCTGGCTGCTTTGCTACAAAGTCTTTTTCATTTGGGAAATCACTCACTTTACCCATTCCTTTCTGACAATATTAATTTTGTCAGCTAGAAGCTTAGCACAAAACTTCTGGTCACACCTTCAAGCTTTCCAGCCACACCCTCAAACCTCAGTAGCTTATCATCACACAGCAGCAAGCCATTCTTCCTGTCCTAAGCTGAAGTAAAGGATGTCAAGAATAACCAGCTTCCAGGGAAAGCTAGTCTGCATCACTCTAATGGGAGGAGCAATGTCACCTGGCCAGGTTCCCACCTTCATGGTTGTTTGTCTGAACGCCTAACCTGTATGCCACTGAGAGACAATACATTTCCTGGATCTCACAGTAAAAACTCAAAAGATCTCTTGTGTGAGGTTTTCTGTTCCCCTAATTAGCCAACTCATTTGTCCTTCTTGTCTTACAAAAAAGCTGTTCTAATGCTCTAGAGTTAAAATCCTCTATATCATCCCAACTGGCCTCCAGCAGTCAATCAAACAGTAACCATCCTTCCTCCAATTTCTAAGTAACTAAATGACGAGGCCATCTCAGGAAGTAAGCAAACATGAAAAAATAATGGCAAAAAATGTCTATCAGACGGCTATTTGGGCTCTGTGCCACTAATGGATAGTCTATTCACAGGTTGAAAGGGAGATTCTGCAATCAGTGTTCTCTCCACTGTATCACACAGTTCAGACTCTATGCTTACCCTGAAATCTTTCATTTAACTTTGTTGTTTATTTTCATTAAATTTTTTGGATTTTCTATTCTACCTCGTTACCATATAATGCTAGGAAACCAATTATCTGAATAATCAATAAACTTAATGTCTACACAAAAACTTGTATGTGGATGTTTATAGCAGCTTTACTCATAATTGCTAGAATTTGGAAACAACCAAGACGTCCTTTAGCAGGTGAATGGATAAATAAACTGGTACATCCAGACAATGGAATATTATTCAGCACTAAAAATAAATGAGCTATCAAGCCATGAACAGACATAGAGGAAACTTAAATGTCTATTACTACGTGAAAGAAGTCCATCTGAAAAGGCTACATATCATGTGATTCAAACTATTTGACATTATGGAAAAGATTAAACTATGGAGACGATGAAAAGATCAGTGGTTTCCAGGGGTTGTGAGAAGGGAGAAATGCATAGGTGGAGTATGGAGTATTTTTAGGGTGGTGAAAATACTCTGTATGATACTATAATGATGGAAACATGTCATTATACATTTTTCCAAACCCATAGAATGTACACCACCAACAGTGAACCCTAAGGTAAACTGTGGACTTTGAGTGATTATTATGTGTCAATGTTAGTTCAGCAATGGTAATAAATGTACCTCTCTGCTGAGAGATGTTGATAATGTGGGAGAATATGCATGGGTGGAAGTCGGGGTATATGGGAAATCTCTGTATCTTCCTCTTAATTTTGTTGTAAATTTAAAACTTCTGTAAAAACTCTTTAAAAAAATCATCACATGTGGGGCCAGCCTGGTAGCATAGTGGTGAAGTTCGCACACTCTGCTTCGGTGGGCTGGGGTTCATGGGTTCATATCCCCAGCACAGACCTCCACACTGCGC